TTTAAAGATATTGATAACATGATATCATTTTTTTTAGAGATTTTGATGAGATGGTATTATTTTTTTAGAGAAATTGATAAGATATTATTTTTTTTTAGAGATGTTGATGAGATGGTACTATTTTTTAGAGATGTTGATAAGATATTATTTTTTAGAGACATTGATAAGATGATATTATATTTTAGAGATACTGATAAGTTGATATTATATTTTAGAGATACTGATAAGTTGATATTATATTTTAGAGATACTGATAAGATGATATTAGAGATGTGTCAAGTACATGGTGCAGTAGAAGAAACATTCAAAGTTACAGCTAAAAAACTTGGTAATAAAACACCACAAGAGGTATGTTCATTCTTTTACACACCCAGGGCTGGAATTAAGATCCATGGAGGCACTTAACAGATTTCGGTTCCCCCATATTATGTAATTCAAAAGATATACAATAATAAACCATAAAATATATTGTTATTTTTCAATGTGGAACAAAACTTATAATAAGATGTAAAATAATGTTATTATTAATTGAGACGAAGCAGGTACATGGAACACTAAGAAAAGTCAAAAACAATGAAAAACTAATTGAAAGTTTTTAATTAATTTTTAGATTCAATATCTTAAATTTACCATCTAACAAAGCAGATATTATGTGGTGCTTCCTTCCCATGATGCCCTAAGCATGTGCTTATTTTAGGCATTTTTATCGTCCACTGATTAGCCAAAGTGAAATTTTCATCTTTAACGTCCATCTATTTCAAATCGATTACCCTAATCAACAACCAACGAATTTATCGACACTGATTTCTGAAGTGATAACCATAAATTACGATTTGATGGGAGATCATATTTTTTTTTCATCTACCAGTATGTCCAGCCACAAGAATTGTTTACAGCTAATCAATGCATTTATAAACTCGCCAAAGTACTGTACTTTGAAGTAGACTATATATGTCACATGACATCTCAACTAAATACAAATCGAGATTGCAAGTGGATAAAAAAAATCCTTATGATGCTTTATAGTTAATGCAGCTCTGTAAACACCCATTAACTATATGGTTCTTACTTGTTCACAGGATAGGAATGGACAATGAAGTTTTATCAACAAAATATATCATTTTGAGACCAGGGCCCTTATTCACGAAAACTTAAACTAAGATACAATCGAAATTTTAAGAAATACTGCAATTCGATTGGCTGACCAGAAAAATCAATTTGCATATACATGTATTCAATGAAGTTGCAGTATTTCTTAAAATTTCGGTTGTAACTTAGTTTAAGTTTTTGCGAATAAGGGCCCAACATACAATTATTTTTTCTGTGGACACTCGAGCTATGCCAATCTGTTTCACAGCAGTAATGCGAAACCCTCCTTTTAACTCTGTAAATGAAATGAATTGGAGTTTAACGTCCTACTGTTTTGCTCCTAACCTGGGCTAATGAAGACGGGCATACACCATACAGTGTGCTATGAGGGCAATTTTGCCTGGGCAGCGGCGCTACGGCCTACTCTTATATCGAATTCCAACTGCCAAGGGATCTTTTACGTGCACGCCAATGTGTACACAGGACCTCGGTACAAGATGACTGACCCTTTGGCTCACGAATCTGTGCATGGTGAATTCTCTTTATTTATATGAATATGACTCTGGTAGAATACAAAATACCATAGAAAATAACCTTAATACCATTTGTTAATCTTCAAATGAACAAGTTTATGGTGATGTAACCATAAACCCTTTACCTTTTTTACACTGCCGCTGTCTAACAAAAGAATCAAATCTTAAAATAGAAAGTTTTTAATAAATGTTGATTACTGTATCTTGAAATGAGTAATTTGTATTATTAGAAAGATATATTAGTATAAAGTAGGAAAATTGCTAATATCTTTTTTTTAGCAAAATTATCATTTATTGGAGTTACAAATTTATAAAAAAAAATAATCAGCTCAAAATAGTACATGGGAGTAGTGTGCAGGTGGTTACTTAATAAATTGGCTATTAAAAGATCAAAGACCTGTTCAAATCAGATATGTTTTGAACTAAAAAGTTTAAAGATTAGTGGGTTAATCTAGACTGTCAGGTTTAAGCTCACTGATGGCAATATAATTCAACATTATTTATGGTGATGATGTAAAGACAGTGTAAGTCCACCACTGGCACCAGTCAATCAGTTTGATTTATTTACTACTTTCATTTTCATTTGTCTGGTTTTGTTGTGTATCCTCAATTGTACAAAATTATTTACATTGTACAGAACAAACATATTCTACTCCACCACTGCCACCAGTCAATCATGTTGATTTATTTACTACTTTCATTTTCATTCGTCTCGTTTTGTTGTTTATCCTCAATTGTACAAAATGATTTACATTGTAAAACAAACATATTCTACTCAGCACTTTTTTCAAGCCCACTTCTGACTTGTCAGGAGTGACAAAGAAAATGTGACTAGTTGTTTGGATGGGACAAGAAAAAATGAGATACACATTTGCGTGCATGTAGACGGACACATTGCTGTCTGGGAAAAATTCTCCAACATGCATTTGTCACATGGCTCGCACTGGCTATCCCCTTTTTTCCACCAAAATGGCAGGGATACCATCTAGTCATTCGGATGGCTCGAAAAACCAAGGTCCTGCATACACATTGGCATTCACGTAAAAAAACACATGACAATTTGAATTTGATATAAGAATAGGCAGTAGCTGAGCTATCCAGGCAAAATTGCCTCCATTGCACACTGTATGGTGTACATATACATGTATGCTTGTCTTCATTAGCCCAGTTGGTGCAGAAAAGTAGGATGTTAAACCCCATTTCGTTTCATTTTTCAAAACAGATCGAAACTATAAAATTGTCTTGTCACCATTACATTTGATAGCTGAAAAAACAGAAGTGTAAAATAATTTAAAGTTCTTTCGATTTATTTTTTTCAGGTTGCAAGTCGATTTCAGACCTTGATGGAATTATTGGCTGATTCTCATGGTGAAACTGATAGTGAGATGTCTGATGATAACTGAACATATTGTGCCAGGAAATCTTTGCTTGACGTTGTGCAAAAATATTTTAATACTCAGTTTTGGTTAATTGCAAATAAATTTAATGTAAAGTGTTAAAAAAATTATGAACCTCCTCAAATTTTGTGTAAATTAATGTTTAACCTTGCTCAAGATATAATTTATGAAAGTATTAGTAATGAACTGCTTGCGTTTATTTACATGTGTACCTACCGGTGGAATGCTTAAACTTTAAGAGTATGATTGTAACTGATATAAGTATTAAAATCCATGCTTATTTACCTAATGATCAATTTATTTCATATCAGACATTAACACAATAGTACTAACTGTTACTGCTAGGTTCCCACTTTGGTGCGAGATGCATTACGATAGGAATGTCCTTATTGAGCCCACGATCTGGTACGTGCAGGTATATTTCGATACGATTGCCATGACTTTACCTCAATATATGATAAGACCTAAAAGGATCACCACGATTTCATGTTGGAACCTAATATAAGAATACTTTAAATTTTAAGAATATCAATGTAACCTACATATAGCAAGGATGTAAGTATGTGGCCGTGTGCTGCTTGATTGTTCGTATATCTGGGGACGTCCTGTGTTGTCTCTGCAGGGTTGAGTGGCTGAATGGTTTAATACATGGGCGTTTGATCATTAAGGATGTGTTTTTTGGGTTTATTTTCTTTAAAAGCCAAAAAGGCTTACTGCAATGGTACATATATATATATGTTCACCATATATATATATATCTCTCTGAGTTAGTGAAGATAGGGTTTTGTTTACATTATAAAGCTGCTATTGAAAAGCATGTCAGAAATAAAATCATTGATAAGTGTTCAATTTGCTAAATAATTCATTTGCAGAAATTATGTTTTGATTATTGTTTTTGCATTAAATATTACTCTCTATTTCGGTTACAAGTTTAGGCTAATTCATTAGTTGTGCTGTGTCATTTTATAGTCTATCCGTCTATTTTGATAAATTTTTAGGAATGAATTAATTGTGTTTGCGAGGTTGAAGATAATGCATAAATTTGTTTTAGTATTTATTGTTAGATACAGCTTGTTATTAAAGAAATAATTTATATATCTTGTTTCTCTTCTTTATTTATCTACTACAGGATTCTTTGACTAGTTCCTTGGGGGATTAGAAATGTTTTTAAACTGTTTTGTTGAGAGAGAGAGAAATGCGGTTTAACATCAACTCGATACAAACTAGGTCATTTCGGGACTAATATATGATTCAATTTTATTTCAATAATTCACTTGTGCGTAGGGGTTTTTAACAGTGGGAGGAAATCGGAGAAAACCCACGAGTTTGGACATTAGACCCTACTCCTTGTCCTGTTTTGTTGAGAATGCACTTAGAAACACTCATGTGTAATGAAGCGCTACATCAATCAACAATAATAATAATTCCCTTCATTGAGTCAAGTCGATGAAGTTTGGTATAACGTGTGTGGGATGGTATCAGTCTCAAACATGTATGCGAAACTCAGTAGGGCTGTCTACAACCTTGTAGATATTGGTTTTCAATGGGTTCTCTGGTGTTCCAAAAAGTGGAATGGACAAACAAACAACTATCTTCTTGAGTAGAGCAGGGACATTTGGAATGAGATTCCACGGTCGTTTATTGCAACAAAATTTTAATCCCTCCCCTCCCCCTCTTTAAATATATCGCTGTTCCATCTGATAAGACTTCAAACTTCAAAGAGATACTATGTAAATAGACAACAGTAATTAGTATATACAGGTAACAATTCTATGGAATACAATTACTGCTTATAACTGTATTAACCAAGTATTGTTATATTTTATCATTGCTTGATAATGACTAGAGAAGCCTAGTCCAAACATCGCTCAGTAATAAGCAGTAATTGTATTCCATAGAAATATCACCTGTATATTCCAGTTCAATTACTAAATGTCATTGAAATAATTTAACAGTAATTAGATATCAGCATATAAAAACAATCTATATTTCATATAACTTTATTTCTTATTAATCTCTAAAGCTTGTTGAATTTGCTGTTTAATAAACTTTCCTTTATCCGAGGACTGGCTCAAATCGGTCTCACGAACCTGAAACAAAACAAATTTTTTATGATATGATTTAAAGTCCACTTCACACAATGTAGATCATATGGAGACTAACATGGTACACTTATATTCCAACAATTTGCTTTCACGTAGGTGTCTTTAATGGGAGGAAATGAAATGGGGTTTAATGTCCTACTGTTCTGCTATGAATGGGCTAATGAAGACAGGCATACGTGTGCTATGAGGGAAATTTTGCCCGGGTAGCGGTACTATGGCCTACTCTTATAATCGAATTCCAACTGCATGCCAATGTATGCATGGAGCCTTGGTTTTTCTTCCCATTCGAACGACTAGACAGCTGTTCTTGTCAGGTACTCCAACCTGCTCCACTGACAAGGGGAAACCATGTCTGGTCGCTGTTTTCGGTCGAAACACATTTTGTTCTCAATCGAACACACAACTTCTAGGCCTTTGAGCCAGTGTCTTACCCACTTAGCCACAGTGGCTCTAGGAAGGAACCAGAGGACCTGGAGATTATATGAATGAATGAATGAATGAATAAAGGACTAAAATTTTTAAATAACTCTTGAAAAAGAATGCCATGGCACTTTAGATCAGACCTGGAAATAGCAGACGTATTCCAATACCTTATTTTTCATAGATAAGAATTCAATTTTGCATATGAAATTCGATATATATATATAAATAAAACTTACAGGAATAGGAATATATCCTAGTTTCTTCATCTGACGTAATTTCATGTAAGTAAAACCTTTGATGTGGAACCTTGATTGATATTCGTCATCAAAAACTTCATAGAAATCAATGGAAGTCAGCATAACAAATCGTAGCCTTTTACATCTAAAAACAAAATATAGCAGAAGACCTAGCTGTAGATCAGATTTTAAAGTTGAAGTAAAACAGGTAAATGTTTCTGACCTTAAATTACTGCTCCCTTTAAGGCCCCAACCCGCATGGGTCATGTAAATTACTGTAAACTATATCAGGGCATCAGGGCATGGGTCATGTAAATTACTGTGAACTGTATCAGTTATGAGTCATGTAAATTACTGTTAACTATATCAGGACCATATAGTTCTGTGACTTCTTGGCGTCTTCAAACTTTGTCTAGATCCATTTTCTCTAGTTTCTTAGGGAACCGGAGTAGTCAATATTTACATGTACCAGTTGCTAAAGGATTGAGTCAATGGAAATCAAATGAGATTTTTCACGGACAGTCGCGCTACGCCCTACTCATTTCAAATTCCAACTGCTAGTGCTAAGGGTTCTTTTACGTGCTCACACGCTAATGTGTACATGGGACCTTGGGTTTTTGTCCCTTCCAAATGACTACACATTATCCTTGCTAGATCTTCTGTCCTATACCACTGATAAGGGGGAACCATGTTCGAAATTCCTGAGAACCTTTTTTGGCCAACGCAGGGATAGAACACGGGACCTTCAGGTTAGTCAGTCAAATCTTAATCACTGAGCCACCTTGACTACATTGACTCCCTGAGACAATGGAACAATCACACTGAACTGTCAGAAATTTGAAACCAGCCTAGTCATATAAAATCCCAGCCATATTGCTTAATTTCAAATGATGTTACAGAAATGTTCCGCATACTTGGTCTTATACATGTACATGACACATTTTTTTTCTTTGATTGGCATTTAGAAATTGAACATATCAAGAGTATCCTCGTCGAAACGTCATTTAGTAGTAAACTCAGTAATTATGTATTCATAAAATTGTACCTTGTGTTGATGACACACATTAGGCTACTACGTAAAGCTAAGTTGAGTCAGATAAATGAAAATTTAAGAAAGCGTATTTACTTGGCCATATTATTGTCTTTCTCCCACTCTTTAACTAAAATAGGTTCACCATCTTCACTCACACACAATTCAATATCTTAAAAAAAAAAAATATATATTTTTTAGTTATGCTAAGTCTTTATCATTATGGTAATTTACTTGCATGCATGTCTCTTTAACAGTTGGATAGAAAAATAGCAAGAATAGACATGTACATCCTACTTCAATCTGTGTACAAGAGAGAGAGAGAGAGAAATGGGGTTTAACGTCCACTCGACACAAACTAGGTCATTTCGGGACTAACATATGGTTTAATTTTATTTCAATAATTCGCTTGCGCGTAGGGGTCTTTAGCAGTGGGAGGAAACCAGAGGACACGGAGAAAACCCACGAGGTTGGACAGGCGACCCTACTCCTTGTCATGTACAACCGGGGATTCGAAACCATGCCAGTTGACTCAATGACAGGCTTTATGATACAGCACGCACGTGTTAACCATTGGGCCATCCAACCCCCCCAAATCTGTGTACAATCATTCCCAAAAGTTTCAGTTATCTTGGTCGCTTTGCATAAAAGTCATGTTCATTCCAAAATATGCTCCAAATGACCTCCGTGACCCGAAGGTTAAGTCCAGCAAATTTCAAGCCTCTGTAGGATTTAATAAAATTTTTATTGGTTCTGATTGTCATCCTGTACAATCTAACACACAGCTTGCATAGATGACAGACTGGCATTAACCTGGATCAGTTGACGGTCGAACACCACAAGATGAATGACAAGTAGTTGATATAAATATTATTTACTATTATCATCAAATGCCAGGACAGATGTTTCTTTAACAAATCCTCTTCCGAATACAACTCTTAATGTATCACTCAGTTCTTTCAAGAAATTCTTTTTAGCTTCTGGCAGGCGTAAACGAATTTTTCCCTGAATATCATTTTTCTGAAATATAACCAAACATATAAATATATTATTTTCTAATAGCCATATTCGATGTAAAGGACAATATTTGCCTAATTGCTGGTAAAATAATAATAGCTTGGAATTGCAGAGGATGAGTGGTTCTCGACATTAAATGAGATGTCTTTCCTATTGGTAGGAAACAGGATCTATCACCAACACCCCTTGGGCTGCTCAGGAATATTGCTATATCAATATATTACAATACGATCATCCATGATACACTGTATCGATATATTATAATCAGTCATATTACAGGGTTTGCCGTGTCCAAGAGTTATATAAACAATAAAACTATAACAAAATAAAACGGTGCTGTGTGATAGACCCTGACTTTATTGAAGTATAAAAATACTGCAATATGATTTTTGGCCACAATACACGGCCCTAACCACCCGCTATCACGACGACGACATATCTGATCTGTTTGATCTCAGTGTTGGTCTAGAAAGTTCCTCAGGATCTGCCAGCATGGTTTCCCCGGTCAGTGGCCTTGAAGGAACAGCTTCTACCTATTCAAAATGAAATGAAATGAAATAGGGTTTAACATCCTACTGTTCTGCTCCTATACTGGGCTAATGAAGACGGGCATACGCCATACAGTGTGCTATGAGGGAAATTTTGCCCGGGCAGTGGCACTAGCGCCTACTCTTTTATCGAATTCCAACTACCAAGGGATCTTTTACGTGCACGCCAATGTGTACACGAGACCTTGGTTTTTCGTCTCATCCGAACGACTAGACAGCTGTCACTGACAAGGGGAAAGCACGCTGGGAAATCTGGATGAATTTTTTCGGCCAATGCAGGGATCGAACACCCGACCTCCAGGATAGGGAACCAGCGTCTTACCCACATGATCACCCCTACCTATTCGAATGATATGATAATATTGGCCCGCACATAAAAGAACCCTCGAGAGTAGGCTGTTGTGCAACTGTCCGGGCAAAATTTCCCTTATGCCCATCTTCATTACAACGGATGGAGCAGAAAAGTAGGATGTTAAACCCCATTTCATTTCATTTCCTATCAACAAGCTGGCAGATGGTTTAGTTAAGATATACACTTGACATATTTCTCTATCTGGCTTACCTGTGATATCACCCTAGATGCTTCTATAAAGTCTATATCCCACACCAAACCAAGCCCAATCAAACATCTGGGCGGCTGACATAAGAAATGAAATGGGGTTTAACGGCCTACTGTTCTGCTCCTATAATGGGCTAATGAATATGGGCATACGCCACACAGTGTGCTATGAGAGAAATTTTGCCCCTGCAGTGGCATTATGGCATCTTCTAAGTGCACGCCAATGTATACACAGGGCCTCAGTTTATTGTCCCATCCAAACTACTAGACAGCTGTCCTTGTCAGGCCCTCCGTTCTGCACCACTAACAAGGGGAAACCATGTTGGAAATTCCAGATGAACTTTCTCAGCCAATGCACGAATAGAACACGCAAACTCCAAGCTAGCGAGCCAGCGTCTTACCACTTAGCCACCATGGCGCCCTTATGACATTTACTACTGTAGTCCCTACAAATTAAATGTATAAATAAATCTAAATGATCATTTATTTTATATAAAAAACATACCCTAGCAAACAGATTTGAAACAAATGGTGATGAAATTTCTTCAAGAATCTGTGGACATTCTATTCTAATACTATCTAACAACTGGTACAATGTAATACTGTAACTTTTTTTATCTGAAAAATAATTTTTTTATGATTAGACCCAGAAGTCATTTTCTGACTATATATTTATCTTTCATTTAGAAATAAACTGGTCATCATTTATTTGAATTTTAGTCCCATGCAAACTACAATATTGTCAAAGTTGAATTTTAATCCCATGCAAACTACAATATTTTCAAAGTTGAATTTTAATCCCATGCAAACTACAATATTGTCAGTACAATATTATTTTATCTGAAAAATAATTTTTTTATGATTAGACTCAGAAGTCATTTTGGTATATTTATTTATCTTTCATTTAGAAATAGGCTGATCGTCATTTATATGAATTTTAGTCCCATGCAAACTACAATATTGTCAAAGTTGAATCTCTAAAAGGAATATAAGAATGGTTTAAAGATACATTATGGAAGATGAGATTAAGAGTGCCAGTTAAAAACTAGATAATATAAAGGACATAGGCTGAAAATTTCAGTCAAATTGCTCCACTCTGAACTGAATTACAAGTGATTCAAATTTAGGCCTGTCTTCATTAGCCCTGTTGAAGCAGAAAAGTAGCACGTTAAAACCCATTTCATTCATTTATCTAAGAAATTCATTTTTCACAATATTGTAGTTTGCAAATCTCTCAAATGATGTTCAGAGATTTTAAATAGCTGTTTTAACCTTTTACTGTCAGTTCTTACCATATAAATATTCTGAGTTATTTTCAATATACAATAATTTTAACAGTTCCACTGGGTACACTCCCACTCGAGCCATGCCATCTAGTGCTAAACTTACAACTGGTAAAAATTCTTGCATTTCTGTTTTCTTGTCTGCCATTAATAATTCAGCTATAATATTATCCAATAGTTTTCCAGGATTTTCAATAATAGTTGAAAAGTTTCCTATCAAAAAAGACATTTTAGCTAGATCCTTTGTCCTCCATTGTCGTAGATTAGAATTCAGTGATAATGACTCTAATTGTCTGACAAGCTTCAAATTGATACACCTCGCACGTTCGACCATTTCTAACACTTTCAAAAGTGTACCATTTTCCAATTCAGGTGCCTTTTGCGCAAGTTTAAAAAGTAATTGTAATTTTAAATCTTGCGATTTGTTTGTGAGAAAACGAATACCATGTGAACCGGTCAAAAATTTTGTAATAGCTGAAACCATCATAGAATCCATATTATCAATATTCTCCATTAAATACTGAGGAAGCATGTAATGAAAAGGCGTCATCTGTACGTTTCTGCATTTAAAATTACCAAGACATATTATTCCCACTTCACTTGGTGTACACAATGATAACGCTTCCGATACCTTCCTCGTTAATTTATTCAAGAAATGAAAAGTACAATTTCTACGAAGATTTGCATAATACAGGGTCATAATAATGTCTTCTTTCTCTAAGGCACTCAAATTTTTTTCAATTTCTAAAAACATTTTGTCGAGGAAGGTGAACTTTTTGATGTTATTACACCTCAGATTATAGAACAAATCGGCCGCCATTAAGATCTGAGCTACACTCCAAGATGGCATCCGTTTAATGAATTCATCATTACAAACTGTACCTACCAATATGGCAATAGATTTAAGAGGTTTGGTGAAGCCGAGACGTAGATTTAACACAGATAGGAGTTTCAAGTCTAAAAACAGCTCTTCGTCCGACAGTTTCTGGAAATTATCACTCCAATCCATAAAGAGCTTTCCAAACTTATTATAAGAAATCATTTTATATCTTTCTTCACTAGGTTCCGTTGATAATTTGACTAAAAATTGACGTAAATCCCAATCATACAGTTGTGATTTTGATTCAGCGCTAGGCTTGCCAAGGTCTGGAGCTATTAAAAGATATCTTCTATATACAGGGGAGCTCTCTAAATATCCATGAAAATATTCGTTTTCTTCCTCCAAAACTTTAACAACATTATTATTAATCTTCACAGTTGCTTTAGTGTCAATCTGAAGCCAATGGACAGGAATTATCTGGCAAGAATTTGCCTGTAAGAAATGCGATGGGTGTCTGTCATTTATTGCAGCATACAAGAGCCGATGAAATTTCTGTAAATATATGGGCCTGGATTTTTGAAGCACCACCAGGTTGAGTGTTCTACAACATCTTCTTAGAATCGTCATCGCCATGGTGATTTAACACGTTGATTTTGTAGTACGCATTAATTCTGAAAATAACAAATGATAAAAATACAGTGAGAGTAACGGTGGTTGACAAGAAAAATTCTTGTGTACTTCAAAAACTTACAGGATAAATCGATATTGATCGATAGAAATGAAATTGCATTTAATGTTCTACTGTTTTGCACCGCCATACTGTGGGCTATGAGGGAAATTTTGCCAGGACAGTGGTACTTCAACGTACTCTTATATCAAATTCCATCTGCCAATGGTTCTTTTACTTCTATGCCAATTAGTACATGGGACCTCAGTTTTTTATCCCATCCGAACGACTATACATTGTCTCATGCCAGTCCAGCTGTCCTGCATCACTGACAAGGAGAGCCATGCTAGATTTCTCAGCCAACATCATGGGAGGATCGAACACAGAATCTCCAGGTTAGCTGGCCACTCTGGTGGTTTTTGAGTTATCTAGTTGTGTGGTGTGTTACCTTCTGCACTCCTACAGTCCTACTATTGATGAATTCTTCATGCAACAGGTCATTGTTTCTGCATATCGCAATATAATGCCGAGGTTGTCACACATTCTGAATGTCACAGAATTCATACATCCCTTGATGAAATTATTCAGACATGTCAAACAAAGGGTATATACTGAGTCAAGTATCCCTAATGATACCCTACTTATTCTGTTGAATTATAAATCAGTCACCAAGATAAAGAATAATTCTAGAAGGTCCACTGGTTTGATCTTCTGAAAATTAATATCCTAATACCCTGATAACGACACGAGCCACAGTGGTTTGTTCACTAACTAGAAGATACGATGTTCGATCCTCGAAATTTTCCAGAATGAAATGGACCAGGACAAATGGGCTGTGAAAGGAAAATGGTTTATTCCCTCGGATGAGATGACAATAAAGGTAAAGTGTATGTATTGATTTGGCAGATGTTAATTTGAAAGGGTCCATGGAATGACGTAAAATAGAGTGCCTCTTGCACCAGCCTTTGATTGAGATAGTACTAGGAGTGCATGAGCAAGTTATCCACTCTGACTCTAGAAATGCTCAAATGGATTTAGTTTTGTACTATAGTTTGAAAAAAAATAATATATATCCAGCTAATTAAATTGCTCTAATTTAAATTTTCCTGGTAATTACCAATAATATGTAACTATATCTTTAATAGTTTCTTTAGTGATGCACAGAAAAGGGGTTGACATTTTAGAGTAGTACTAGTAGGCCTACATATTACTTTAACAACATGTTCTTCAGGTTACTGGTACTGTTTAATCGGGACTAAATCCAAAGTCACATTCAAAGTTTCCAATAATATCTTCCTAAAAATAATAATGCATGCATCACATGTAACTGATGTATGAATGTATAAAATAATATTATATTAGATCGGGCAATTTCATAACCATATAGGCCTACATATAGCCCATAAATCAATCACAATGATAAATCCACAACTATCAACAAATGCGTGGACTAGATAATCAGAGAGAGTTATCTTCCCTTGATGAGTTTATCCGTCACAGGGCGCTGAATACTGTATGTCTGAAGCAAAGACATTGTGTAGCCAAAATATACGCTTGAATGTCTTAGCGTTGACGTGTTGTTGTGTCGTAGTAAGTGTGTTGTCTTTTTAGTTCCGGCCAAGAGGCGGACATCACTTAAAGTTGTTACTGAAAAAGGTCATGGAATTATAACTGAAATGTTAGTTTATGATTCCGGATGACTGGAGTGGACTGAATTTTGACAGATCAAAGTGAACATTTTGTTTCAATAACTTGCTTTTCTTTCCACTTAGGTGACTTAGGCCTACACTCCTGTCCAGATTAGCTGATGATTTGCGTCAACAATTCTATTTATAACATTTTAATAAGTTCGTAAATAATCATTTTGTTTTGGCCTTACGCTGTGGGCCCATTTGGTACATTCTGTGTGTCAACTATATAGCAGACGATTTGTTTTAAAACAGAATTGGACTAGTCAATCCATGAACTGTCACTGTTCATTGGGGGGAGTGTATACCTTTTATCCAGTTTTAAGTTTTTAAAAAATCCCTATGTTTTGTGTGTGTTATTTGAAGAATCATGGCAGTGTGATGTTCCCATTTGCTTTATTGCTGTTAAACTTTATGTTCATTGCCTCGGAAAAAACTTACATAAACCAATATGCCGTTCACATAAAAGATGGTAGAACTGGTTTAGAACGTGTACTACAATCGACAGGACTGGTGAACAGAGGGCAGGTAATATATTTACATACATGTATTGTATTAGTCTGAAATATCTGACCACCCTGTACATGACACATGTATGTAGGCTACATGTACATTTTTGTCATAGATAAAATGCAGGTACCCTACCGGTACTGTTACCCTGTTGCTGTAAAAGAATGATAACAATTTGTTCTTTATCAGATTTCCAACATGCCAAGATACATACTAAGACTAAATTTGTTATATATGGCAACTTTTCATAAATAAATACATGTTTACAAGAGTAAATCTAGATGGAACATGTATCCTGTTGCCTTCTTTTCTCAAAATGGTGATATCCATTCTCAATCAAATGCCAATTGAAACATGTTGGGCACAAAATTCAAAATTCATGTACCTATAGCCTACTAGTTGATTATTTCCTAGCATTTTGTCAGGGTCCGTACCATTATTTCAAGGCCTGATATCTTGTGCAGGTTCCAGAAGAAAACTTGATCTGTTAGAAATATGACTATGACACTATGAGGACTTTATTTACATGTAACTAATGTAAGACTGGCTGAGACTTAATAAACTTATTCCAAATGTCCAGTTTATTTTAAAAGATGTTATTTATAGTCTATACAAGTACTGTACACATGTACATGTACAGGATTGAATTAAGTGTGCACTAATATTTTCACACATTTGATTTATGGACCTCTTTAATCCAATGAATACAGACTGGGAGATTACATGTATTTGTTATTTATGTTTTGATTTTGTTTTCTTAATTAGCTGAGTACATTGTACGTACATGTACATACATCATACATGTCATGTACATGTAGCTTGGATTCACCTGTGAAAAATTAGATAACATTACACAAGAGGCAACACTGTCATTATTTAGAAAGTGTAGGATTCAGCAGATCTCATTAATTTAATTTTCAGTAAGCATTTCCTTATTATATGTCAACTACTTTCATTGTACGTGTACTAATTTTTTGAAACATCAGGGACCATATAAATACATCATATTTTCATAAAATTCGTCATTTCTCATAAAATTATCATAAAATGAAAAATATATAAAATATAAAATGGAAAAATATCATATAAAATATAAAATTTCACTATTTCTCATCAGATGAGATGAAAATTTTTTCAAAATATAAAATTAACCTTAAATTGCTACTCACAGTGATAAATTTCTATACTAATAAATCTGGTTTTGAACACGAAAATCATCCAGGCATTTTATGACCCTCAGCTTGCTGCTCTCTTTCATTTTCTGTTTGACAGTGTTCAGTTAATGTTATGGTATATGTATATGAAATGGAATCAAATGAAATTTAAGTTTGACGTCCTACTGTTCTGTGCCAACTGCCCTGACAGCGGTGCTAGTGCTAAGGCCTATTCTTATATTGAATTCCAACTCAGTTTTTCGTGCCATCCGAATGACTAGACAGCTTTCCTTGTAAGGCCCTGCGTCCTGCATCATACACACTTAGCCACCGTTGCCCCCTGTGACCATTGATACCACCAGTGCTACTGATGGGACTTTCTTATCCCCATAACACTGGCCGAACACTACGTCATGGACCGGAGATAAGTTATTTTCTGTCAGTGCAGTTATATAAAAAAAGTCATAATATTTGATAATGATAAAAGCATAAAACATCATGAAATATGATAAAAACATTATAAAAATATCATAAAATTTGATTAAAACAATAAAAAAAAACCCATAAAATTCCACGGGGAAACTTTCATCAAAATATAAATTTATGACAAAAATCTGTGTACGGTTCCTGAAACATACATTTATTTATTATGCCATGTTATTATGTTAATTATTTGAAACATAATGTTTGAAGACCACAAAAATGGGATGATTAAAGATACATTATGTAAGAATTAGATAAAGAGCTGGCCGCATTCATGCTATAACCATGCTATAATAGTTCAAAATAACTTCAAAAATAAATAATCAATATATATAGAAATTTTCATTCAAATTATTTTACTCTGAGTGAAGTTATCCCATGAATGTTTCAAATTTTGTCATTGTACTCTCAATTGTCATGTACCATTGCTACAATAATAAACAAAGCAAAGTCTTGTTATCCATGCTCTGAATAAATAATATATCTTTATGGCGAATATGTCTTCGGAAGAAAATGCGACTGTTCAATGCTACATGTATATAGTCAACTTCCTGTAAATCCTATCAACTTCGCCTAGATACTTTGAGTAGATCTATGTACATGTATATGATATCAAAGATGGCTCATTGAAAGATTTGAAATCCCTTCAGACTGGACTGGACTGAACTGTAACTGCTGACTGCTGTAATTAAAAAGTCAGAGGTGGTCAAGAGGAGACATTCTACTTGGTTATAGATGGTCTCCAGGGAAAATTGTGTTTGGCATAATACGTTATGATGGTAATCTCTCTTCCTTTGAATAGAATAATTATTTAATACCACTTGGCTTTAATGTTAAGACAGTAAAATACTTGAAGCAAATGTCAGCTATTTTGTATTGTCTGTATGCTTACATACAAAACACATACTTCAGCTGTTCGGACATAATAATATGTACATGTACAAGTAAAGTGGTTAGTGAACATTTGTAACTTAGGTGTAGACCTACGGTGTACATGAAAAATTATCATTGGCCGTGGTTATTTCATAGGACGAGTACTGTCAACATTGACTTCAAAATAATATGATCTTGTCAAATGGACATTAAATCCCACCCTCTCTCTCTCTTTCTCTCTCTCTCTGTGAAAATACCATGGGCTTTAAGCAAAGTTATTTTTTTTTTCACTTAAAAGTCACAACAAGGGTAGACAGATGTGATACATGTACAGTAGAATCTGCATTAAGCAGCCACCCAAGGGAATTTTCACAACTGACCGCTTAACGGGAGTGGCCTCTTAATAAAATCTCGTTGCTTTTTGTGTCGACATAAATTAAATATTACGCTTGGATGCATTGGAAGCGGTAAATTTGGCCGTCGCTGAATCTTGCGCCGAACGAAAATTCTTTACTCAAATCTCGGACATAACTTAACGGGAGTGGCCTCTTAATAAAATCTCGTTGCTTTTTGTGCCGACATAAATTAAATATTACGCTTGGATGCATTGGAAGCGGTAAATTTGGCCGTCGCTGAATCTTGCGCCGGACGAAAATTCTTTACTCAAATCTCGGACATAACTTCTGTAAACTTGTCATTTTGTACCAACCTTCGATACTACTGTCTACCATTGTGATGCATTCGATAATATTTATCCATTTTTGTGAAGAAAATCGATGAATTCATTTTATTTTATCAAAAAAGCACATGAACAAAAAACATCGCTAATTTTATCTCCTATTTACAGGGATGTAACTCTGTATGTAATATTATAGGAGGCGCTAAGAGAGATACTAGATGATCGTGACAAAACTTGGTACTTTTATTTTATTCAATCAGTATCAAATAATGTGTCGTTACGCGTGAAAACAATGATCAGGTTAGTCGTTTAATAAAACAAAAGATTAATTAACAGATAATCCCGGGTTGATTGTTATGTTTACATTTCTTTTTACCTGATCAGTGGGGGTCCAGTTAATTAACTACTACTCACGGGATTAGCTGGGGGTGTTACAAAGAACGACAAGATGGTATCATTCAACAATGGCCGTTGAATGGGCGATGTTTTGTTGAATTTATTAGTAAAATAGTGACCGCTGGCCGCGTTAGAGGAGTGACCGTTGAATAAAGAGATGAAACAACAGAATTTCTACGGGGGGAATTTATCGTGACCGCTTACAAGGAGATGTCGCTGAATAGGAGTGGCTGCTCATACAGATTCTACTGTACATGTAGAGTCTGAGGCACCTAATTAAGATACTATATACATGTATGTATAGGAACATGTGACAATTATTGGTCATTTAATTTAGTCTATTAAACAGATGGTAGATATTATTAAGTATTAAGATTATATGGCACTCACCACAATCGGCTACTTTTTATTTGGCATTGATTATACAAGTAAAAACATTTGGTAATGCACTCAAGACAATAGAAGGCTCTGGTGTTGAGTTATTTTTACAATCCTTTTCTATTCTGATTCTTTTTTATAATATACATGTACCATGTAACCATACCATATTTTTTCAATCCTATTCTTTTCTGATTCTTTTTATAATGTACCATGTGACCATATTTTTGTTTTGCTTTTACTACAGTGTGTAAAATGGCATTTTAAATTGTTTTAAAATGTGAATGTCAAACATTATTTGCTGTCTGAAAGGAAAAAATTTGTAAAGTTACATGAACATGTAACCAGATTAGTGTGTTTGGACAGAATTGTGTAGGCTTTTATCTCTTATTCTTCCCCATTAAAACGTTACAGATCTAATTTCTACACAAAATGTTAAAGCTGCTGACAACATGCACATGTATCTAAATAAACTGTACTCAGATTGATTTGTTAAACCCCATTTATTTCTCTCAGATTGATTATTTAACATTTTATTAAAAAAAACCCAGGATATCAACACTTAATAATCTCCCCACTTAGATTCAGTCAAGTTAAAAAAAAAAAAATTCAATCAATCATGTCTTTGAACAGAATTAAGTCACTTTTGGACTAATATCGTTTTTAGAGGTTCAACTTGCACTATTTTGTACGTAGTTTACAAGGCATTAACAATCTTACAAATGACAATCAACAGAATTAACATGTTTTTTGGATCAGGAACTGGGGGGTTGGATGGCTGAATGGTTAGCACGTGCGCGCTGTATCATAAGGGCTGTCATTGAGTCAACTGGCATGGTTTTGAATCCCCGGTTGTACGTGATAAGGAGTAGGGGCGCCTGTCCAACCTCATGGGTTTTCTCTGGGTCCTCCGGTTTCCTCCCATTTCTCTCTCTGTCGCTGTGTCGCTAACCGCTTCCTTTCTTCGGGTGACGCGCTTCGAAAAAGCCTTAGGCTTTGTCAATTCAAGTCCGATCAACATGAAAATTGGCATGTTTGTTCTTTGAACAATTCTG